GAGGAAAGGAGGGGGAGAGAGAGAGGCAGAAACATCAATGATGAGAGAGTCATTGATCGAGCCCACAACCGGGCATGTGCCCTGACCGGGAATCGAACCCCGATCGCCTGGATCCCAGGTCGACACTCAGCCGCTGAGCCACGCTCGGCTGGGCTTATTAAGCTATTTAAATCTAGCTTTTAATGTTGCTGTCAAGAAGCCTAATTCCATTTTAAATTTTTGATCCTTTGGATTTATTAACATCATCTCTTGGAAGCTTGTAGGATCTTCTTTTTCTCAGTGTTCTGAAATTTCACTAGGTATTTCCGTGCTTAGGACTGTTATTAATCTATTGTGACGGACACCAACAGGGCTGTTTCAATCTGATAAAACCTGCGTTCTTTATTTCCATCAGTTCTTTCTTTAATGAATTTCTCCCCTTCATTTGCTTCTTTCTCTGTGGAATACTTGTTATTTGAATATTGGATCTCCTATATTAATCCTATAATTTTCCTATATTCCATTTTTTTGCCTTTTCTCTCTCCTTTCTTGGAACTTTTATCAACTTTAATAACTCTTCAATTGAGTTTTCCATTTCAGCTATCATTTTTCTCTCTCTAAAAGCTCATTTTCTCTTTCGAAAAGTTCCTTTTCCATAGCCTGTTGTTCTATTTTTCTGGCTGTAATAGTTTCTCTTGTGTCTCTGCAGATAATACTAGGATTTTGTTTTTGAAACTTTCAGCTCCTTGCTTGATCTTCACTTCTCCATATAATAGAATATTGAATGGGTACAAATTCCTCCCATTATAGTATGTAATTCCTCCTTTACACTATGATGTTGCTTCTGTTGCTACNTCTCTTGTGTCTCTGCAGATAATACTAGGATTTTGTTTTTGAAACTTTCAGCTCCTTGCTTGATCTTCACTTCTCCATATAATAGAATATTGAATGGGTACAAATTCCTCCCATTATAGTATACAGTCTCCTTTACACTATGATTTTGCTTCTGTTGCTATCTAGAACCTCATTTCCTTTTGAATCCCCGCTGACCTGGTGGCTTTCTCTGACGAATAGAGTGTGACAGAGGTGATGTGCATTTTCTAGAGCTTAGGCCTTATTAGGCTTTGGAGAGGCTGTGCTTGTTTTCTTGGAAGGCTGCCCCGAGGCTGTCTGGTGAAGGAGCTGGTCTGGTCTACCGGAGGATGAGGGGCATCCCACATGGCAGCCAGTACCATGCAAAGATGTGAACGAGCCATACTGAACCCTCCAATCCAGAAAGTCCTCCATCTGAATGCAGCTGCCTAGGTGTGCCCAAGTGCAACCAGAATTACTGCCTACCCAACTCTAAAAGTAGTGAGAAATAGCTCTGGCCCATGTGGCTCAGTTGGCTGAGCCTCGTCCTGTGCACCAAAAGGTTGTCAGTTCAATTCCTGGTCAAGGCACATGCCCAGGTTGTGGGTTCGGTCCCCAATCGGGAGGCAACCAGTTGATGTTTCTCTCTCACATTGATGTTTCTATCTCTCTTCCTCTCCCTCTAAAATATCAATAAAAACATGTTTAAAAAAATAAAAATTAAAAGTAGTGAGAAAGAAGTTAAGGCACTAAGGATTGTGGTTGATTGTGTAGAAATAGTTAACTGATACCCTCCCTAGTTTTTTGGGTGGGGGAGGTGTGTCTCTGTTTGGATCTCTTTTGGGTCATGAGCTGTTCTTGGCTATCTGGCAGTTCTCGCTTCTCTGAGGCAGGAGCCTGGCAGGTATATGCCTGCCTGCCAGTATTCTGGAACAAGTAAGTTTGACTTAATTCCCCGGTTTTCAGGTTTGTACTCCTGCTGTGCCATGTGCCCTCTAGGTCAGATACCCTTTCTTACATTTTCCAGTCTTCTGCTGGGGCCAGGAAGGGTGTTTAATCGGTTATGATGAATAGGGGGAGGGACCTGGGAGTTTTAACTGCCTCTTAAATAGATTTTTCAACCAGTCATTAGTTTTTAACTCCACTTTACCACTGCTTCCAGGGGAATTGTGCTGCCAATTTCAGAGCCTTTGGAGGAAGGGTGTGATTGTTGTTGGGGTGGAGGAGGTGGAAGCTGTAATTTGGGTTTGTACTTTTGTGTTGTAAATTGGGTTGTCTCTCAGCTTTCCCTGCTTTAGGATTTGGCTTTCTGAGATCCGCCTAGCCAGTTACCATTCACCCCTTCTAGCTTTCAAAATTTTGATGCCATGTCTTCAATTATATTCTTTGTGTTTGAGGAGCTTGGGCTTTTTAAAAAATCACTTGTCATTTCATCTTTAACCAGATCATGCTTTTAGATACACTCTCTGGGCTGCTCCTTGCTGCCAGTGTAGAGAACCAGAAACAGAACTCTTCTCTGACATTCAAAAGGGAAAGAGAAGAGATGTTTAATTTTTAGCAGAGGAACATGGAAAGAGACTTTATTCATTCGACAAACATAACTGAGTGATTATGTGCCACAGTCTGTGCCTGGCTCTGGGACGGGGCGTCTGAAGACGGGAGACATGTTTTGGGCTCTCCTCTCCCTTCATCACACCGTCTGGCTTTAGCTGTAATACCTTACTTCATGTAGAAAGCCCCCCTTTTTGAAGAGGGCACAGGAAATGTGGTCTAGTGCTAGTTATAGAAGATCCCCTATTGCCAACGTTTCCTTGGCTAGAGCCCAAGAAAGCTCGGGGGTGAATTTTGGGAGGTAATGGCCTAAACCGTGGAGCCTGGTGTTTTTAACCATAGTGCTAAGTTATGGGGGACCCACGGGCTTTCCCTGGCCAGTCTGGAGCGGCCAGCATGGCTGGGGTGTCAGGAGTTTTGTTTCAGTGTGAGACCTCAGAAATGCTAGGCATTTTAGCACAGGGACTCAGAGAGGGCAGCGGGCGGCAGACTGCCCTGCTGGGGGGGCAGCCTGTGGGCGGGGACAGACGGCTGCCCCAGGTGAGGGGGCCGCGGAGGCGGAGATGGTGGAACAGACTCCACCCTGAATGGCAAGGCACTGTCCTGGCATCTTAGCTGTTTCCTGCTCCTTCCTTGGCCTGCTCCGTGCGGCATTTGGGCGCCCTTGCTGGAGCCAGGATCCTCTGAGATATCTGCGTGGCTTTGGCATCCCCACAGTAGTGGCTGTTTTGCTGCAGTCACAGCGGCCTCGGGCCGCAGAACAATAGTCCGCGGAGAGGGAGTGAAACTGAGCCCGGGAGAGTTTCAGTGGGACCAGGCCGACTGACCTAACGTAGACCAAGCTTCCTGCTGCATCAGGGCAATAGGTCGTGGGCCCTGATTTGTCCGTCCAGCTCTTTGTGTACTCATACCTGTGCAGACACAGACGTGTGCACAGACTTGTGTGTACGTGCGTATGTATTTTTTTTTTAAGGAAGAATATTTCTACTGCTTTTAAAAATGGTAATTAGGCAGTAGATGGAAAGAACCGATCTTCTCTCTGATACTTTTATTGGGACTTAAACCAGAATATCTTTGATGGAAATTGTTGAGAAGAGTTTATTATTTTGAATTCTACCCCTTTTTTTACAGTTGACAGTATATCTGTCAGCTTTAACTTTAATAAAGGTTAACGCCACCCCGTGAAGGGCCTTTCTTGTCTAGGCGCTCAGGTGTAATGAGAGACTGAACAGGAAAATCCTGATTGTTCTTAGGGGTATGTACGTGCGAATGTGTATAGTCATGTAAATATGTTAAATTCTTCATTTCAAGTTCTGAATATGTTACATCATACTAATTTATAATATAATATATATTATTCCCTTCTGCCTCCCTCTTCCTGCTTTTCTTTTCTTTTTGTTATTAAAAAAGGAATTAAGGAAAATTTAGACTGAGCCACATGTAGCTCATTTCTTGAAATGTTTTTTTTTTTTCCATTTTCTCCTCTGTATAGTGATATTTCTCTAAATTAACTTAAACTAGTAAGTGTGTGATTGGAATGAATACCATCTCTTAGAATTGGTTCATTTTAAAATATAGAGGCATATGCAAGTCATGTAGTGGATTTTAATTTTGAAAACCACTATAGCTTTTATTTTTTTACACCATAAGGCCTTCTAATGTTTCTTACTTATTCCAAGCTGAAATCTAGATTTGATAATCAGTGGTTTTTGAACTCCTCTTACACATACATATCTCATACGTTTATCTCTGTGAAAACAGTCCTGTACTGACTTGTCCCATTTTCCTCCACTTTGCTTTTTCTGTCTGATCCTTACCATTTTGAGCTGTTGAAGATGGGAAGTGGTGGAGTAAAATTAGAAAGAGGCCTTTATATTAGAGCACTAGTGTAATTCAAAACATCCCCCATGGCCAGTTGTTTGATGCTGGACAAAGTATACAACCCCTTTCTTTCCACACCCTTCTTTCCCATTGCTCTGTGCCCCTAATATAGTTTATGAATCTTGATCTGAAAAACAGTGTTTACATTATTAAGACTGATGCTCTTCGGAGCTAAGCCACGGAGCTTCAAATGCCTTGAACCAATAAGGAGCAGGACTTCCTTAAACTTTGTTTAGGAATCCGATGTTTTAAAGGTTGAGATGGTTAAGTATTTTACCAGAATTTCCCAGTGTTTGCCTTCTAATAGAGGTTTGGAGTGGGGTGGTGGACAAGATAGTTGGAAGGAGATGAGATAATCAGATAATTCAATTGCTGGATTGTCTTTAATGAGCCAGTGAGCATTGGGCATCTTCAGAGTGGGGATAGGATATATTGAATTTCCCAATCATATTACCATTAAACTATTTCTTTGCATACTTTGGGACATGCTACTAGAGTTTTCTTTGAAAGCACTTGAACTAAATTGCGGGTGTTTTCAAATCTTTAGCTATCCACAAACATAGCATTAGAAAAATAAGACTAGAGGGAAGGAAATGTTAAAAAGAAAATCAACCAGCTAAAATTTTGAGAGGAAAAAAAGTGAATATGTAGGATTAATTCATCAGCATGCTTTCTGAGTGTCTGTATACTTACATGTGCATTACATTCCTTCACACTTTTCCCTTTTCATTTCACAGGTTTTTTTTAAAGCCTCATGGGACATAATACCATTGCTGGATTCCTGGTAGAATTAAGAAACCTGACTACATGAGAGGAACTCTACATGGGCACAGGATGTTACCTGGAATCAAAGAACTAAATGTACCAGACTTTCCTTAATTTTAAATGGTAGGAAAAAAAAAATCTAAGCACTTACTGTATTAAACTAATAATTGTGAATTACTTATTTTTATTTGTATTATTAATATTCACAATTTATTTTCTAATAAAATATTTAAAAGTTCTAGAGCTAATTCTGGTGTTAAAAATAAGTTTTAAATCTCTATAAATCTGATATGGAGACAATTGGTGATATTTGGCTTTCTTTGTTAGAACAGCAGCACTTATTAGTTATAGAATGAATTGCCAAGTTACAAAGTTGATTTTTGACAATCCAACAATATCTCAATATTTGTAAACATTTTATATAATTAAAAGTGAGTTGGGCCCTGGCCAGGTAGCTCAGTTGGTTAGAGTGTAGTCCTGATATGCCAAGGTTGCGGGTTTGCGGTCAGGGCACATGCAAGAGTCAGCCAGCAAATGCACAACTAAGTGGAACAACAAATCGACGTTTCTCTCTCTCTCTCTCTCCCTCCCTTTTCCCCTTCTTCTCTCTCTAAAATCAATTTTTTAAAAAAGTGAGTTGGGTTCCTGGAATTTGAATAGAGACATAAATTCTGTCATAAATTACAATATGTATACAACTTTTGTTTTCTGCAGGTGTAAATTATTATAACCTGTTATAACCAATGCAAGAAATGCAAGGCTGTGTTTCTGTTTTGGATTGTGTGTGTCTTTTCCTTTGATGGCTGGTGTGGAACTGAACTAGGTGAGCTCAACCCAAACCACTTCCAAACCTGGCCTGGTTTTAGCTGAGCTTTTCTGGTCCAGTTTGAAAATCCCATTGACTGGCTATTCCTTCAAAGATTCTTAGGAGTTACAGCCTTTTAAGAACATCTCCCTAAGTGCACCCCCAATTCTAAATTGGTGAAGAGCTGAATGGGTGTGATCTCTTCAAATATCTGGGTTGTTGATGTCAACTGATGAGCATTAGTGGATCTGTCAGGAAGAACCTAGAATAGTAATGATTTCAAGGTAAGGGATGCTAATTAGAACTGGCACAGGATCAAAAACCCACCAACTATAGAGAGTTCAATAATCATAGCCTCGGTCTTCAGCTGTGTTTTACACCTCAATATATCTGAGAGGTAAAATGTTTATTGTAGGATATTCTAGCACATCCTTGTATTTGGGTTTTTGTTTTGTTTTTTAAACAATGTGGTATTATTACTAGAGACTGTGGATTTCTATAACACTACCCCTTTTCCTCTGATTGACTCACTTTGTTTTTGCTTTAAGAACCTGACCTCGTAGCAAACAGGACAGTTTTGAGCCTGAGAGAATGTCGTGAAAGACTGTATTTATAGGTATCCTTTCTGCTTTTCTTTTAGTGCCCTTCTCCACTTAAAGATGCCTTTGCACTTCTGATAAATGCAAACTGAAAGCTCACAAGGCCACGGCAGAGATAAAATCATTACTGCTGGAAACCTGGAAGACTGTCCTTAAAAAAGGAAAGTCCCCAATTATTTGAAATGCTGAGGAAGTTGCTGAGGAGGAGACTGTTTTCTTATCCCACTAAATACTACCTCTTGTTTCTTGTTTTTTCCCTAGTCACCTTCTCTGTTTTAAGAATTTATCAAAAGCCCGAATTTGTAAGCATTGGACATTTGGATCTGGCTGGAGAGAATCCTAGTAGTAATATTAATTGCACCAAAGTTTTACAGGGTGATGTAGCTGAAATCGAAAAGGTAAAGCTTGAGATTCTAACAGTGCAGTTTGGAAAGCGCCCTCGGTGGACAGCCTATGACTATATAAACATGACTAGTGATTGTACTTCTTTCATCAAGAGACGCAAATATATTGTAGAACCTCTTAGTAAAGAAGAGGCAGAGTTTCCCATAGCATATTCCATAGTGGTTCATCACAAAATTGAAATGCTTGACAGGCTCCTGAGGGCCATCTATATGCCTCAGAATTTCTATTGCATTCATGTGGACAAAAAATCAGAGGATTCCTTTCTGGCCGCAGTGACTGGCATTGCCTCCTGTTTCAGTAATGTCTTTGTGGCCAGTCAGCTGGAGACTGTGGTGTACGCTTCGTGGAGTCGGGTTCAGGCCGACCTCAATTGCATGCACGACCTCCTCAAGATGAGTGCAGCCTGGAAATACCTGATCAATCTTTGCGGTATGGACTTTCCTATTAAAACCAACCTGGAAATTGTCAGGAAACTCAAGTCGTTAATGGGAGAAAACAACCTAGAAACTGAGAGAATGCCATCCCATAAAAAAGAAAGGTGGAAAAAGCATTATACGGTCATTAATGGAAAGCTGACAAATACGGGGACTGACAAAACGCAACCTCCTCTTGAAACGCCTCTGTTTTCAGGCAGTGCCTATTTTGTGGTCAGCAGGAAGTATGTGGAGTACGTGCTAGGGAATGAAAAAATCCAAAAGTTTATGGAGTGGGCAAAAGACACATACAGCCCAGATGAATATCTCTGGGCCACTATTCAGAGGATCCCTGAAGTCCCTGGCTCTCTGTCCTTAAGCCAAAAGGACGACATGTCCGACATGCATGCAATTGCTAGGTTTGTCAAATGGCAGTACTTTGAAGGTGACATTTACAAGGGTGCTCCCTATCCACCCTGCAATGGTGTCCACGTGCGCTCCGTGTGTGTTTTTGGAGCAGGTGACTTGAACTGGATACTGCGCAAGCACCACTTGTTTGCCAACAAGTTTGACGTGGACATTGACCTCTTTGCCATCCAGTGTCTGGATGAGTATCTGAGGAATAAAGCCCTGGAGACGTTAAAACACTGACCATTTATTGTAGGCAATTTTAGAAATATGAAGACTAAGTGAGATGTATCCCATCTGATTCTTCCGTCTTGTTAGTTAACATCAGAAACACTGTAAAGGGTGCTCTTTGGAGCGGGGACTCTAACTCTTCGTGTCAGAAGCTACATGGTCTCTGCAGAACATAGTCGGTTAGAAAGGTCCTAGCATTAAACATTAACTTAGAGTTAATGTGAGGCCAGAGCAGTCTGCGAGGCACTGTGGGGAGAGGTGGCCCAGGTGGCCTGGGAGGAGGCGAATGCAAAAACCAGCCTGTTAAAAGAGCTCAGGGACTTACCAAAATGGTAAGATTTAACCTGTGCCAAAATTACTTTGAGAGCTTTAAATATGATAATTTTTCTGATTTGAATAAATTTATAGCAACAACCGATCATAAGGATATAATTTATATTGTAGGTTATTTTTGTTGAATTAGAAAATTGACGTTACTGTAAATGATTCTTGTGAATATAATTTACTTTCTGCTGTAACACTGCTGTGTATTGTATCTGTATGTCATCTCAGGGAACTTGAAAAAAAGGGCTTGACTGAATGTAAATATTTCGGAGTAATTTTTGCTTCTACCAATGTACACTTTTTAAAAACAAAACAAAAAAAAAGGCAAACTCTAGTTGATTCTGTGAATCATCTTGGATTATTAGAAAAGGTATCCTAGGTTATTGAAAGAGTTAAGATATCTTTGTTTATTATTATAGTTTCTACAGAGTAGCACTCAATTTTGCAAAGCTTTGTCTCTCTACTCCTCTCCACCATCTCCCCAGACCCCTCTGTCAAGCTGTATAAACACTTGTTTTTTTATTACCCGGTATTATTGCCTCAGTTCTATTATATGATTCGATTGATAGTACTTAGTGTAGAGACCTAAGACAGGAAGGGTGAAGTAGGTAT